TATATATTTTAATAACTATATTCCATATCCTATTATTATTCTCTTCTTCTTTAATATTAAGGTTTTGTACCTAAAATTTAACTTTAAAAACGTCTAAAAAATCTTCAAAATGTAAAACTTATCCATTATTTAAGAAGGGAAATGACATAAAAAAACAAATATAACCCACAATAAACTGAATACAAAGAGTAACATTCACTCAGAATCTTTAACAGTTTCAATAGTATTTATAGATTTAGGAATATATCTGACTACCTTTTTCTAGTGGAATTACATAAAGATGACTGAAATTAAAAGCAATGCTCAATTGCCACATATTTTACCAGTTCCTGGACCTCATTTATCTGCTAGAGAGAGAATTAGAGAATCTTGGGCCCAAAAATTTAATGAAATTAAATATAATTTCACTTTGGCAAGAGGCAGTTTAACAGAACACAGAGAGAAAGAATATTTGAGCTATCAAATTAAAGTATGTCCACCATTCGATAACTGATTAATTTATTACACTTACTCATAGTAAACAAGAAATCAAAATCAATTACTAACAATTTTTTTTTAAATAAAACATCTTAGGGTCTAAGAGAACTATTCACAAATCGAGCTTATGCTCAACCAATACTATATTTTTTACTCCATTATACTGGATTATATATTACAAATTTAATGATTTTTTGGGTTGTTGCATTCCCATTTTTATTAGCAATGAATACATTATTATTTGGTCCATTTGGATTTCTCTTCACCATAATATATGGTTCCTCAATGGCAAATTATGACACTTTAGAAAATGGACTTTGGTTTTATAATAAAGAAAGTTATTTAAACACAATTATGGATATAACTTTGAAAAAGAAAAAAAGCTCTTACTTAAGGTATCAGGATAAACCAGTATCTCATTTTAAGGATCTTTATCAAGCTACAACAAAGATTACTCACCAAGAGCTGTCACTTGAATTCTGGGCTTTTTCTGTTCCTTATAAAATAATAAAATGGCTATTGACCTTAATAGGATATCTAATTTTAATATCATTAAGCTTAGTACCTGGAGTTGGTGTCGTCATATGGTGTATACAATTTTCTGCAGGAAGAGGTATTGTTTTCAGTTTGCCATATGAAAAAAATATAAATTATGCCTCTGATGATGATATTAATGTATTATATTACAAAAGATATTATAATTGGTTTACGCTAGGGATTATAACCGGATTTTTAGAAATGATTCCCTTTGTATCAGTAATTACTAGAACAACTTCGTTTATCGCATATGGATTATGGGAGTATGATATGATTTTGTCTAAGAAAAATCAAGATATTTTTATAGACAAAGGGAATCAACATAAACATCAACATCATCACGATGATCAAGAACCAGAAGAAGAACCAGAGGATGAACCAGAGGATGAACCAGAGGATGAACCAGAGGATGAACCAGAGAATGAACCAGAGGATGAACATAAACATAAACATGAACATGAACATGAACTTGACCATGAACAAGAACAAGAGCATCTACATTTGATTGACACCAACTAGTCTCTTTTTCTTATTATATCTTTTACTCTTCAAAATATCCCAATCATAATCCTCCTCCTCCTTTCCGCCTGATCTACAAAAGATCGTGATATTTAAAGTATTATTAAGGAAGTGTGTATGTGTCCTCCTTAAAACATCAACGAATTCTCCACATACCCATCAAGTATATTTTCTATAATTTTTTTTGCTCTTATTATCTCTAATACTTAAAAGGTTAATAGATGCCATCTCTTGTACTCCATATCCCCCCCCCCCTTCCCCTCCTCCAAATCATCAACAATACTACTCTTTTAGCTAAGATCTATCAAGTACAATATATTTCTAAAAAGTAATTCGTCATCTATCAATCTAATCTAGCTAGTTCCAGAATCAATGAATAGTTCAACTAAGTAATAAAAAATGATCAATAAATCAAGCAAAAATGTTTTTTAGACAAAAAAACCTTATATCTAAATAAAATTTTTGTGACTATTTCTTTAATTAAGTCAATTCAATATCAGATCAAATAATTTCCTTTTTATATTCATATCTTATCATTTTATATATAAACTAGAGTAATACAACCTCATCTTATCCAATTAGTATAAGTTGCTGGACCTCTTTGTTTTGACCTTGGAGAATATCGTTATCTATACCACTAGCAAAAGAAGAATTTTATTGAAATTACATGTTCTCCCTTAAACAATGATTTATAAAGTCGTTGAAAGAGGTATGGCTGGACGTCATCCTATAGATATTATAAGTTTTCAAACAATTACTCAGAAAATTGCATTAGATCCAAATATTGAAGAAACTCAAGTCTCTAAAGATCCCAATGATGAATATTGCGAACATGGTAGGAATGACAAGAAACGCAATTCTTTCCCTGACCTTATATTATTAATTAGAACTAGAATTGAATTGATGAGGAAAAATTTTGCAAATGATATAATTGTGAATTCAACTTGGCATTATCCTTTATTAGTATGTTACTGAATATTTTTTTTTTAAAATTCTTTTCCAATTTTATGATCAATTTACTGACACATTAATTTATTACATTTGAATTTTAGGGATTTTTTGAGATGATTACTGTCACTTCTTATTGGAGACACGTTCTATTATCATCCTCTTTATTTGTAGTAATTTTTGTTACCATTGCTATACTATACTACGTTCTATTCTTTCCATTCTTATTAACATGGTATATTATGTCAATGGGTCCAGTCGGTCTATTTGTTGCGCATATACAATGGATTTTACAATCTGGTTCAATGACAAAAACGGTTTGTCAAAATATGCTGTTGAAAAGATTAAATGATCAAATCTTTGATATGGCATTGTATAATAATGGACAGAAAAAGTTCTTGTATGAATCAAAATTTATTAAAAGTAAACCAAAAAGGAAGAAAAGACTTCCTTGGAGATATAGGGAATTTTGGACTTATGATATACCTTTGATGACCTATACTTTGACAAGAGGTTTAGCTATTACATTGATTTTAGCTATAATATCACTTATACCAATTATCGGACCTCTAATTACAAATCAATTATTAAGTCCAAGGAGAGCATACAGTTATTTAGGAAGATATTTTTTTCTAACTGGCGAAGAGCCAACAGTGTCAAAAACTTTCCAGTATGAACATATAGGTAGATTTATTTGCTTCGGAATGACTTCTGGTATTTTGGAATTTTTACCATTTTCATCTATTATTACAATGACCAGTAATACAATTGGTGCAGCTAAATGGGCTTCTGCAATCATAGAAGAAAATAAACCAGTTCATGCTGTCCAACAATAATTTTAGTTTTGCTTTATTTTAACTAATATTCTTTTATCAAAATTCTAATTTTAGAATTATGTAATCAATCAGTTATATGTATAAATTACCTAATATAATTATTCCATAGACTGTTAAATCATTAATTTAAATGGTATAAGTATAAACAAACAAATAGTACATATGTGGTCTTCGTAGAAACCTGGATATATAACGGTATATTTTTAAAAAATTAAGAACTTTATCTTGTATTACAATTCTGCCCATTGACTCCAATTCCAAATATTCTCAGGTATAAAAGATTTATCAACCAATTTTTCTTGAGTGCTTTCAGGTTTAGTTACAAATAAATCTTCCGGTGAATCAATTTTAATTTTCTTAGAATCGCTCATTAGTGAAGAATTAGAATTTGCAGGACTAACCTCTAGTTCCTCTAACTTTCTCTTCTTTGATGAATTAGCATTTGTATTATTCGATGATTTAGTTCCCGAACCAGTAGATGTAGCGACTTCAAATAAGTTTACAAATTTGGAATTATTGAATCCTGAAAGCGAGTTAAAAATTGACGATATAGCAAAATCATCAATCTTATAGTTGCGTGATTCTGGGTCATTTTTACTCTGCATAATTAATTTATTACTCTTAATTTGCACATTGACTACATCCTGATCTCTTGATTTTTGTTGAGTCTTTGTAAACTTTTTCTTACCTGTTCCATTAGTAGTATCAATAATATGTTGAGGAATGGTGTTTACTAAATCAATATCATCATCCTTGATACCCATACTGTCAGCTAAAGTACCCAAAAACATGTCGATTGAAGACTTACCGAAAATTTCTTGACGATGCTTATAACGAGAAATAATTTCTGCTTTGCGGGCATTCAAATTCTTTAATAGAGCTTCTTCTTCATTGAAAGGATTTTCACCACTTGAGGTCTGAGAAACATTTAAACTACTACGAGAAGTTGAGATATCTGTAGTAGTTAATGGTGATGGTGTACCTTGTATACCAGCTGTGCTTTTCACAACCGATGGTGAAATTGGGATTGGTGTATTTTGAACTGATGTAGTAGATGCAGGGGATAGTTTCTTGGCCTTTTTGACTTTACCAGAAATAGGACGCTTAGTTTCTTTTTTACCTGGAGAAACAGCTGTATTTGGTGACATCTTTGAAATGTCTTGACTGGCTGTTAGATCAATATTACCAACAATTCCTCTATTAGCAGTAACATTAGCCGTGGCAGCATTCTGATCCACAGAATTATTATTCATCATTTGATTGTAGCCTTGAGCTTTACTAGAGTCAGAATTTGGAATCTGAGGTTGAGAGGCATGGTTTGGACCTTGGGTTTGAGGTTGAACCTGAGGTTGGGCCTGAGCCTGAGCCTGAGCCTGAGCTTGGGCTTGAGCTTGAACTTGTGCTTGAGCTTGAGCTTGAGCTTGTGCTTGTGCTTGTGCTTGTGCCTGAGCCTGAGCCTGAGCCTGAGCTTGAGCCTGAGCTTGAGCTTGTGCTTGAGCTTGCGCCTGCGCCTGCGCCATTTGACGTTGTTTTTGCTGCATTTGCTGCTGAATATGCTGTAGAGATCCCTGAACACGTTGCTGCTGTTGGGATAAATTATTACCTGTGCTTATCTGCTGTCTAGGCAGTTGTTGTTGTTGCTGAGGCTGAGGCTGTTGCTGAGGCGGCTGCTGCTGCTGTTGAGGTTGCTGCTGTTGAGGTTGAGTTTGTGACTGTTGTTGATTCTGTGGCATATTATTACCAGCTGCTTGCTGTTGTCTTTGGATCAACTGCTGTCTTCTTAACAATTGAATCTTCATGCTTTCCCAGTATTTTTGGTACTTCATAATAAGCTTATCAACTGTATCCAACTTAACAACATAAATCCCTTTCGAACATTTTTCTAATATTTCCTTCACAAATATTCTTAATTGAAGTACTTCTTTTAAGAAGTTTTCACTTTTTGTAAAAATATACACCTGAGGAGCATAATTACTTACTTGTGCAAATAGTTGTTGGTTCAATTGTAACTTTCTTTTAATCTCTTCTCTTTCTTGTACTGATAGAGTATTTGTCAAATCTGATAATCTCAAAGGTATTCTTGCGGCTTCAGCTGAAACTTTTTTAACAACTTCAATATCTTGCTGAGTAGGAGCAAGTGCTTGCAGTAGATTTTGTCTCTGTTGAGATTGTTGATTTCTTTGCTGTTGCTGTTGCTGTTGCTGTTGATTATTATTCTGTACATTTGCATTGAATTGGTTACTGTTATTGTTATTTTGATTAGGTATGAACTGGTTATTATTTTGCAATCCTGTTATATTTTTTTGAGCATTAACATTAGCCTGAGGGTTAGTAGTAATTTGATTTCCATTATTGTTAACAGTATTGTTATTTATCAAGGGAGGATTATTATTTCTATTTATATTCGTGTTATTGTTGTTAATGTTATTATTGTTATTGTTATTATTGCCGCCATTGTTATTATTATTATTAGCATTTGTATTAGTATTGATATTTGTATTGTTTGTATTTGAATTGGCATTTTTATTACCCATTTGAGCCATTCTCATAGATTGAATTTTCCTCAAAGCCTTCTGATTAATATATTTTCTGATAAAATTCTGTCTGTTAGCATCAGTCATATTATTACCATACTGAGTTTTTCTAAAATTTTTACAAGCTTCCATAGCTTCTTGCAACAATGCTCTTTGTTCTTCTGGGGTAAAGATCTGGTTAATTTGACCTAAGACGTTGGGTACCTCAGTTGGTCTATTGCCAGGGTTTTGGGCTTGATTACCTTTTTGCTGTTGTTGCTGAGCTTGAGCTTGAGCTTGGGCCTGAACTTGTTGTTGTTGCTGCTGCTGCTGCTGCTGTTGTTGTTGTTGCTGTTGCTGCTGTTGTTGTTGCTGTTGCTGTTGCTGTTGTTGTTGCTGCTGTTGCTGCTGCTGTTGCTGCTGTTGCTGCTGCTGTTGCTGCTGCTGTTGTTGTTGTTGTTGTTGGGCCTGAGCTTGAGCTTGTTGTTGTTGCTGCTGTTGTAACTTTGATTTATAAAGGAGCTGTTGATGCACTTTGTAAATTTCTTTTGCGATATGCATATCTTGTTGAGATAAAACTTTTTGTTGTGCAAGTTCAGTAATTTGTTGCCAGGTGTTCACACCAGGAGGTATATTTGGTATTCTTGAAAGGAGTTCTCTTGGTATAGGAGCTACTTTCATTTGGTTGATTATTTGTTGTTGTTGAGGAGTGAGTTGTGGCCTTTGCTGTTGCTGCTGGGTTCTCAACTGCTGAGCAGCTTGTTGTCTAAGTTGAGCTTGTTGGTTCAAGAACATTTGGGAGTTCATGTTTAATGGGAAGTTTCCCATTTTATCACTATTTGCAGCGGATGAAGTGTTATTATTTGAAGTATTTGAATTTGCATTTACATTTACATTAGTGTTTGTATTTGTACTTGTATTTGAAGGATTGTTGTTACCTGAAGATTTTGAAACGACTTCTTTTTTCCTTGAATTCAAAGTATTTCTCATAGCAGTGACTTTTTCTCTCATGTTATCCATATATTCTTTTTTTGAAGAAGATTTTGCGAATAGAGCAGCTTCGAAATTTTTTGCATGAATTTTCATTTTTTCAGCAGTATCGTTGTTACCACCGTTGATATCGTTGATATCCATTAATACCTGTAACAAGTCGTTTACATTTTTAGCACGTTCTTCCATATTCAGTGAGTTGTTCAACCAAGTTGAGCCATCCATATTGTGTTATTGGTGTTGTTGTTTGTATTGTTTGTATTGGTACTATTAAATACGAATAGGAAGATGGATTTAAAACGGTAAACAAAACAAAACAGAAAGAAAAATAAAATCAACAAAAATAAAACCAAATCAAATCAAATCAAATCAAATCAAATCAAATAAAAACAACAGAGAAGGATCTTATGTGGAATATATCAAACTGATTATCTTTATATTGCAGTAAACGTTGTTTGGTTGGATGGATGAGGGGGGTGGGGGGGAAGTTCTTATATTTAATAAAGGTGTGGTATGGTATGGTATGGTATGGTAAAATAAAGTAATGTTATTTTTATTTGTTAGATTAATTTTTTTCTTCTTGGTAAGGACCAAGTAATAGTTTTTTTATTTTGGATATTTATTATATTTTTCTAAAAAAAACCAAAAGTAGTCAAGATGTTGAGTAAAGAGTAAAAGGAAAAGACAAAATAAGAGAGAGTCGGAAGAAGGTGTGTTACGGTGAGAGAGAAAGATAGATGAAATGGAGAGAATGGGATCAATGAATGGTGATGGGATATTAGTTAAGTTAGTTCGTTGGCAGGTGGGAAGGATAGTGGATAATGAATGAATGAATAAGTGAAGGTAAAAGTGAAAGTGAAAGTGAAACGAGAAGTAAAAAAGTGAAAACTACAACTGAATCCAAAAAGTGAAACTAAAACATAAATTGAAGTTGGACTTGAAAATTGGGAAGTTAAAGTTGGGATGAATGAGAGAGAGAGAGAGACGACAACGGGAAGAAACGAAACGAAACGAAGCGAAGCGAAGCTAAAGAACGGAAATGGCAAAAATTGGCAGGTGGGAAGAAACAGAAGGAGAAAGGGAAGCAGAAGCAGAAGCAGATGGAAGATGGAAGATGGAGACGGGACGGTCACGGGAACAGGACAGAGTGGACAGCACAGAGGGCAGAGCAGAGCGTCTTTTTTCGAAACGAGGCAAATGACGGATGGATATGAGGTGGTTGTAGTGTAATGTAATGTAATGGAGTGCTGTGCTGTGCTGTGCTGTGCTTTTCTGTTCTGTTCTGTGAGGTTTGCTGGCATTTTCCAGTTCGTGCAGCGGTAGGAGGAGTGTAGGTTGTTCTGATCGTGTTGTCAGAACAGACGGGACTGGGCTGGGCTGGGCAGGACCTGGAGGGCGGGAGTGTGGAGCGACCGGGACTGGGGAACAGAGACCAGAAAACACAGACTCTGAACGTTCCCTCCCTGCCTGTTAGAGGAAACAACCGAACGGGTCCAGATACCAGTGGGTACCGACCGTATGTTCCCAGTTCGACCTCGGGCTTGCCCTTTCTGAATGCGTAAACAAAATTGGTTTTCAAGTATGGAAAGAGAGGGTAACGAATTCCAAACATTCACGGTACCCAACCGTAAACAACAACAACAACAACAACTGCTCAACCAAGATCGGAAAGTGAAAAAAAAAACTTTTTAATCTTTTTTTTTTGTTTTGCCTTTGTAGCTTGAGTTTGTTTCCCTTCTTAGCTGTCATATAAAAGGACACTCGGTTTCTGGCTTAAAAAGTACACTCTTGTTCTTGTTCTTGTTCTTGTCTTTTGCATTGGACCCATATCTCTCGTTTGTGTGTCTGTGGTTTTATTTTTTTTTTCTTGTGGTCACGTTTCCTTTTCCGTTTCGTTACAACAGATACTCCCATGGGACTTTGTAGAATCTACAAAGTCTTGGGACTGTTTCATGAATCTGGGAAAAAAATATATATAACATGTAATTTACAAAATTATATATTTATATTCTGTTTTTTCTTTAGTGATACTACCGGTCCAAGATCAATAATCAAGAAGTCTATACATATTTCCCTCAAGAATAGCAAATACACTTTATCGTGTATCCATGGGGAACAGTCAAGCTGTATCGTTTACAACGTTTGACTGCTGTGTGAGCCGGTAGATGTGTCGTACACTATCTATCCATGATTTAGGGAAAGGTACTTCTTAACATTTTATCTTAGCTTAGTTTATCTTATCTTATTGTATCTAGTCTAGTCTAGTCTAGTCTAGTCTTGGGTGGTTACAAACAACAATCATCTGACATAATCAGAATCCTTGGTGGGAAACGGGAAACTCGTTTTCCCATCACCCAAATCAAATTATATTATATTAAATAAAGAAAAGTTTCGTACCATGCGATGTCACCACCACGTGACTCAAGATTCAAAGAAACTTCCCCTTTTCTTTTTCTACCTCGTTGTCTTTTCTTTTCCATTTCCATTTCCATTCGCATTCGCATCGTCTTTCTCTCGGCTTTCCCCTCAGCTTCTGTCTCGTCATCGCTCGCTCTCGTCCCCTTCTCGTCCCAGTAGAGCAGCCCGTTCTGACGTGTTAATTTCCTTTAAATTTTCGTCTTTTTATTTTTTTTTTGAAATTTTTTGATTTTTTTGGCTTCTCTCTACCTTGGTTATATCTCTTTATGCAATAACTACTTAGCTGACCTCATTTTTTTCAAGGCCCTCCACTGGATTTTTTTTCAATTAATCTAAATTTTCAATTACATCTTATCCTGTATTATATTATATTATACTATACTATACTATACTATATTATATTATATAAATCGATAGATATAGATCCTGTTCATTCTATGGACCCTGAACTACTTTCCACCTTTGTCTAATTTCATTTCATATACATAAAAATAATAATAACAAGTGTGTGTGTGTCTCTTTTTTTTGCTGCTACGATATTTGGTTGGATATTTTCTTCATTTCAGAAATAATATATTTATTATTATAATACTGTGTATTATATAACTTCCCAACACTATCTGTAGTCTACCAACTTACCCATCACTTACATCCTCATGTCTTCTACTACTGGGTTCCAAGACTCAGAAAAGATTAAATCTGATGAGTCCACCTCCGACACTATCTCAAAGGTAAACGTCACCAAAGACATCAAAGAAGAAACCAGTAAAAATGATAACGACAACGAGATCAAAGACAACTCTGATCAATTGGAATCTGAAGATGCTTCAAAATTAAAACCATTGAAAAAAATTAATCCAAATGGTCAAAGTTCGAAATTAAAAAATTTAGAATCAATCTTAATGCCTTTGATCTTTACAGGTTTGGCTCTATTCACTAGAATGTATAAAATAGGTATTGCCAATAGAGTCACTTGGGATGAAGCCCATTTTGGTAAATTCGGTTCTTACTATCTAAGACATGAATTCTACCATGATGTCCATCCTCCTTTAGGTAAAATGTTAGTAGGTTTGTCTGGTTACATCGCTGGTTACAATGGTTCATGGGATTTCCCTTCTGGTCAAGAATATCCTGAAGATTTAGACTATGTTAAAATGAGAATATTTAACGCAGCTTTCTCCGCTATGTGTGTCCCTGTCGCTTATTTCACCACTAAAGCTATGGGTTATTCTTTACCTTCCGTCTGGTTGTTCACTATCATGGTATTATTCGAAAACTCTTACGCTACTTTGGCTAGATTCATCTTATTGGACTCAATGCTATTGTTTTTCACAGTAACTTCTTTCTTCTCTTTTGTTATGTACCATAATCAAAGAAATGCTCCATTCAGTAGAAAATGGTGGAAATGGATGTTCATCACAGGTATTAACTTGGGTTGTGTCATTTCAGTGAAAATGGTAGGTTTATTCATGATCTCCGTAGTGGGTATCTACACAGTCGTAGATTTATGGAACTTCCTAGGTGATAAATCAATGTCATGGAAAACTTATTTCGGCCATTGGTTAGCAAGAATTATCTGTTTGATTATTGTACCAACATCTGTT